GTCTGAAAAATGGCATAAAAGCCTCCTCCTTCCTGCCTCATGATTTGGCGCTGTCATTTTTGTTGCTGATGATGGCAGTCTTGCTACAAGCAGCTTTACTTGGGAGCTCATTGGCAAAGTCTTTACAAAATGGTGACTATTTAGTTATGATAATTGGGAAATCAACTAAGTTTTGTTGAGTTTGGAAGGAATATTTTGCTTCCCTCAGTTGTCTCTTTCTGTACTCATCCTTTAACACTGTTTTCTTGAAGACCTGTGTCATGTAGTAGGTTTTTACATCAGAAACTCCTACCAACCCCAACATTTTATATTGCACAAAGACACAATCTGTTTGGATTTTCACACATTTCTCTGGGCAGATGCATATGCTCAGAAGATAAGAATAGTGTAAGCTTGAGATCTTCATATTTAAATCCTTTTTTTTTTTTTTCAGCAAAATTCCCCTGGCTTTACATTTTTATTTTGTTTCTTATCCTATATGAGAACCTGACTCTCTCCCTATTAGTGGCAAGATGCATGTGAGCACTTCCAGATGCTTTGCCAGTGTGTGGGTGGGTGCACACAGCGCACTTTGATGCACTGTTCAGATCAGACCTTTCTGAGACTGGTGAAACACAGCTCTGAAATCTGCAACCTGCACCAGGGAGAGGAGTGCAATATGCTGAACTCCTGTTAATTACAGAGAATTAAAATAAGCCTGCCTCGGCTGCTTCTGTGAGACAGGCTTGCTCTATTTGAAAACCATCTTTGATCCTAGACAAATTTTAGGATAAATCACAAATATGTCTGCTTTGGAATAAATCTATGAGGTGTTTCTAGATTTATATTCATAAAGGCTCAGCTAACACTAATTAATTTGGAATAAGTTAGCTCAAACTGGAACAGGGCCATCAATTCTAGCCCAGATTTGTACTGGGTGTTATTTAGCTATGTCTTTCATAAAAAAATAATGTTATGTATATATGTTTACACACACACATTCACATATATTCCATAATGCATTTTTACTGCCAGTCTTCTAAGTTCCAGTCAGTGGGCAGCTTGAAGTGTTGGTCAACATCAGGGAGAAAAAGCTTTAGAGTTTATGGAGCATCTTTCAAGAGAAACGTGTTGGAGATTGCTCCTTATTTGATATTTCTTTGTTAAAATAACTTATCGTACCTGTTGATGGAGAAGTCAAGGGAAGAATGAGGAACACGAAGCTGAATAATGCTGTGGCACACTCATGCCATGGTGCTTGTTACTGTATGAAAATGGCCTGAGGCATTGCTGGGTCCTTCTAAACCCGTGTAAACTGCAGATACTTTCATTAAAAGTAGCCTGTTGTGTAAGTGGCTTTTATTTGTTAAACATAAGCAGGGTCTTAACTGTTGCTAATTGGAAAGGGGATGAATATTTGTAAGTTTCCCTCCTCTACAGTCTTAGGAATGATAAATGCAAATCTTACAAAGTTGGTGCCTGAATTATAAGATAAGCTTTCTATCTTGGCAGATAAGTCTATTTTTGTAGACCAAGAGCTGTTACGTTCATCACTTGCAAGTTCGGAATAAAATGTGCTCAGGAAGGCTCTTACACCCACTTACAGAGTCCAGCAGCCTCCTGCTGTCTCAGTTAGCCCTCTGTGGTCTCCATGTCAAAACTATTGCACTGACTCCTTGTCTCCTCTTTTGGAGATGTGACAAATGCCTGTTAGATCTTTCTTTGTGCATCTCTTGGTTGCTGAGGTATAAGAAGAAGAAGAAAGCCAAGTGCTCAGATGAGGTGTTGAAAGATTTGCCTTGTATAGAGAAAGACGAACTGTAAGAGAAGGAAGGGAACAAAGTTCTGGTTGTTCTGTTACCTGATTGATAGTGCCAGAAGAACATGGGATAAAATACTTGGAAAGGGAAGTGTTCTCCACCATTCTAGTGTTCCATGTTACAGGGAAAAACAGGCATTTTGAAAAAGACTTGTGTCATCTGCTCGTAACTACATGTAACTACACAGACTAAGGCTATGTGCTTTCCTGCCACACTTCTCAGACCCATTCTGCATTCACAGTGCTGGCAAACCTGTGGATGAGGAATCATATCTGGTATGGCCAGAGGTCCACTCAAAGCAGGGTCCTGTCTTCCTGTTCTGTTTCTTTGGCTTCTGTGATATTGATCCACGCTGGAGTGTTTTGCTGGGGCCGTGACTGAGGCTGCTAAAGGCCCAGGGGTAATGTACAGCCAATTTCTAGTACACCTACCAACAGAGCCAAGATCTTTGGTTACAAATAAAGCTGTAAAGAAATCTGGCAGAGGCAAGCAAGGGTCAGGCAGCTATAATTTCACCAGAAAATACACTGCACCTAATTTTCTCCTGTCTCTTTCCCCCCACTAGGGGTCATATTGTAAACGATCACATCTAAGCTTTCCCAGGCTTAAAAGATATAATGTGATTAGAGTGGAGGGGAGAGCAAGAGGAGCCCTCAGTGCTGAATGGAGTGATCCCTGTGAGCTCCAGGACCAAGGAGTGCCTTCAAGGGCAGGGGAGAGTGATGGGAACAGCAGAGGCTTGCTTCAAACAGCTATTTAGTTTTTTGGACAGATGAACCAGCTGAAGTGTTTCACATGTTCTGGGATGTTTAGAGAAAGATGTTTGCGAGGGGATGGTGTTTTTCCTTTATTAACCATTTCTGGTGATCCCTTCTGGGTCTCGGAGTGCATGGATGAAGGCAGGGCACGGCCTGATCAGTGTGAATGAGTGTTTGTGGAAATCAGCTGCTTGGCAGGGGCTTCACATTGCACACCAGAACTGAGGGTGTGTTCAGGGCTAGGGAAAGTCAGGAAACTGAAGCCATGTTTGATGTTTGAAGCCAGATTTTCATGAACTTCTTTCCAGTGTCAGATGTACGAGGCAGCTGATGCTCTGCTGTCACATCTCCCCAAGGCAATTTACAGCTTCATGGGAAACAGTCAGCGAGCATCTACCTTGTAAGCAATACTGACAGCAAAGAAGGTTTCTTGTTAACTTAAGATGAGTCACTGTGACCTTTACTCTGTGTTGTAGGAGTCTGGCAGAGTAAGATCAGAAGTGGATAAAAGAGACACTTGAGGAAGGAAAGGCTGAAAAAAAAAGTAAATTTACAGGCTATGGAGAGTTTGCACACCTGATCTAACTGGGCTTCATACCCCTGTTAACTTGCCAGTCTTCCCATTTTCTCTGTACACCCATTTAGGTTGCTCAGGAAAAAGGCAGGTTGGGGAACTTTGTTCTTTGCTCCAGGCTTTCGTTACAGCACAAATTATTACCCACGGGACTTTGAAAACAAATATCCATTAGATCAGGCATCTGCTGAAGGTGTAGTGTGATGGGATTAGTTACTTCTGCATGACTTGACAAAAGACGTTTTCCAACAATGAATGTATAGAAACCTGCATTATTTGCCCAGTTCCAAACAAGTTCTTTAATTCATGCCTGCCCAGAGTAAACAGATGTAAGAGGGGAAATATGTTAACCCAGTGAGATAAAATAATGCAATGTTTTGCACTCACACCATGCTTTTCCTCTGGGGATTTCAAATCCCACTGCATTTACACTGATATACATTTCTACTAATTATGTTATTATAACTGCTGTATAAAAGCTGACCATTGAACTAATGTACCTGGAAATGTCTTGATAATTTAATTATCTGCATTAAAACTGTCAGCATAACAGCATAACAGAGAAACTTATGAAGTCAAATTTATTAGAGTAATTTAGAAACTAAAATGTTTGAGACACACAGCTGAGTAAATATGGATATTTTTGCACTGAGTGCAGTAAGACATTATCTTAGAGTACTCTCATATGCTCCACTGAAATAGAAGATCAGAGCAAGTGAACAGAAAATTTTGATCTAAAAATATATGGACGTTTCTCTATCACATGGATTGTAGAAAACAACAGTTAAATATCTATGTGATGATGTCTAAGGGCTTAAAGCACTGAGGTCTTGAAGTGCTCTCCAGCAGAGCACATGGGCTCACATTTATTCATGGAAGTTGGCCTGTTGGCACCACTGGGCTGGCTGCCCATTAACCCAAAGCCCACACAGGTGTATGTGCTTTGCTGGTCTGGGGTGAGGGAGCTCAGAGGACCAAGTTGCAGCTGAAACATCAGAAGTCACCCATGAAGACCAGAAGGCTGCTCTGTGCAATGGGCTAAGTCAGCTGTTCGTGCTGGTCCTTCTTAGCAATTATATTTACAGAGCAGTGAAATATGCTCTTCCCACTTCCAGGAAGAAGCTCTAATCCTGCTGAGTGCTGTTTTCAGCAGGGAATAAGCAGCAGCAGCAGCAGCAGCAGCAGCATCAAGCTATGTGAAAGCAGGGTTTATGTCAATGCTGGTCCCCTGCTCACCACAGCCTCAGGAAAAGCCTCTGCTATTCTGAAAGCTGGAGTTGTAAAGTGCTTTGGGAGTCCTGTGGAACAAAAGATGTCGAAGATAGATGCCGTAATTTATAATACATGTATGCCTAGCACCAATTTCTACAGTAGCCTTGAATTATCTACATGCAGGAGGTTTGCTTTCTTTTCCCTTGGATATCTCACTGTCCTCTTTCTCCCATTTACTGCTCCAGGTGCCAGCTGGTCCCTCAAGGCCTTAAGTCACGCGTGCAGTCAGGGAGCAATGCCCAAGGCCTCTGCTGCTGAGTCACCTCCTGCGGGGCTCAGTGCCCAGCTGCATGGTGCCTTCCTTCTGACACGGCTTTCAGCCGTTGCTTCAGCATTCCTTCCCAGCAGCATGCTTTACTGCCACTGTTCCTGTAAATAATTTCAATTGGAATCTGGACATTACATCTGATGCATTTGGATCAGGGTTTGTTTACCTTGTATAAAATCTCTGTAGTAATTAAAACTAGTAATAACCTTGTGATGAAGTTTAGTTTCCCTAGAAGATGCCAGCAGGGCATCACAGGGCAGCTTGATAGCTGAGCCAACCTTTGGCTGGGATAAAAAGGCTCTCATTGGCAGGGCAGAGTGTGGGACCATGCCAAACTCTTCAGAAGCTACAAAAAGAGGAATCTGTGCCCTCCTGGTCAGTAGATTTTTCTAATGTAGGTGAGCATCTACATTCAAGCAGTCTGGGAGGGAGCATTGCAGAAGGAAAATTTAGAACTGCAGAATCATAGAATGGTTTGTGTTGGAAGGGACCTTAAAGATTATCCAGTTCCAACCCCCCTGCCTTGATTTCATGAATTAGAGTTGATTTTGTGAATTTTGGGGTCCTGCAGCACACACTGCTTCAGGCAGCCCTGCCTGCTGGCATCTACGCTGCACATGTGGTGATGTTGTCCACATTTGAACCCTGGTAGCTGTCCTTTATTTTCTAGCATGATAGCAACATGAAAAGAGAAGTGTTTAACACAGGAATTTATCTTGTTTTGCACACTATATAGTGGGTGTACTTTCTACCCACAGGTATTTAGCATTTGGTACCTTTGCAAAGTCTGAGGCTGCTCACAATCACAGTTGGGCTTTGGGGTAAATCCATGTGTTTCAAAGAAGTATGAAGTAAGATATTCCTAAATTATCTCGGGTATTTGGCAGTTGGAAGCAGTCTTTTCATGTCGGCGCTGTGTTGTACCAACAGGTTGCCCAGCTCCCCAGCTGATTCACCCCATGTTGGTAACCAAACACAATCGTGTAGAGCTACTGTGAGTCTCTGATTGTGCTACTGGGGCATCCTCTGTATGCTGGAGATGGGAAACTGCATATTTAGAAATTCAGACACCATGAAGACAGTGAAAAGATGGATTGCCAGGCCATTACGTTAAAGATCAGGAGACATAGATATCTTACTCGTTTTTGATGACTTATCATTTCCATCATGGCTTAGTTTTTATGGCAAAGCCATGTCTCACATTGTATTTCTGCTGCGGATGGTACTGCAGATTCTAGAGTAATGCTAACAATTAATAGCTAGGTGGAAATTGGATGCTTATACTTTTTAGATTCTCTCTCTAAGTTTTTAGGAGTGAGGGGGTATGACTTAAAAATTAAAGTAGTTAATATTGGTTTTTTGTTCATTTCCAAAAGTGTCTCATTTTCATTAAGAGCTCACTGACTGAGCCACCTAAATGGTTGGGTTGATTAGTTTATAAGGCCACACAATGTCTCACCTTCAGTAGAAGTAGTCCGGGTCTCTGATGATTCAGAAAGGTCGCCCTTACATATGTTGCTTTCTTTGCTGGAGTCAGGTTGGTTTAGGATGGACATTAGTACCATTTTTCACTCTCCTGCCTTCAGAAGGCTAAACTCCAACCTGATGTATGACATCATCCTGATGTATGATAACATTCTGTTGTTCATGAAGAGCAGAGCAGTCCAGATGAGTGGGGAATTAAGTCCAGAGAAATGCTGTGCTGGTATGACATACAATTGGAAGGGCTGAGAAGGTACAAATAGCAACTTGGCTGGATTCTGTCCCTAAGAGATCATTTCGCCTTTGCTTGATTCTTCTCCAGCAATAAACGTAGCTGCAGACTTGGGATGATGAGAACATGGAAAGGCTGTAAAAGGATTGGGAGTGTCAGGCTGAAAATGCAGTTGCCAACTGTCAACATGACATCACATTTTGGGTTACTGTTGGTTTGCTTTTTTAAAATGCAGGGCATGGGATACTGCAGAAGTAAAATTGTGTCCTGTGATCTCTGGAACTTTTCCAGAGCTGTCAAAGGAGTCAGGTGTGTGGTCTCTCTTTATACTTTTTCATTGTTTCCTTTTGTTTTTTTCTTCTGCTGTCTCAGATGCTTGGTTTAAAGTGTTCATACTGGTCGTATCTGGGTCTTTTCCCTCAAAGCAATGTTTCATTAGTCATTCTCCTTTTTAAAGCTTGCTCACATCTGCAGTCCAGCACACCAGTGTTTTGGGGAGTGACATCCGAACGTTTTACTGAACGCTTTCCAAACTGTTGCCTCATCTTGGAATAAATAAAAAAATATTGCCCCCTCTAGCAAATTCCTTCTTGGTTAGATTTACTCACAAGGAAGGCTTCCTGTATGTTCTGATGATGAGCAAATTCAGAGGGGAGCAAATGCTGGGGATGGGGGGGGCCTTGGTAGAAGTTGCTTAGACGGAATTTTTCTCTCCTGTGCAGTGATGGATTTTCAGCTTCAGACTATGCATGGCCTAGAGAAGGAAGTAGTCCCTTGGCTTTATGTAAGTCTTGGGCCTTGTTTCTGGGTTTCCCTTTGCCTCTCTGCCTCTCACTGCCCAGCTCTGAGTGCTCCTGTTGTGAGGCGTCTGCCTGGCTGCTGAGTGCCCAGAGAGTGGATGCTGTGGTCTTTTCTGTATACGATAATGGTTATTTCCAAAAGATTCCTTCATATGCCCTCAGCCTGTATGAAACTCCCATTCATCTGGAGGTCTGGCTGAGAAGTGAAGAATCAGATCCTAATTGGCTTTGAGATGCTAAATGCAAGCACAGATTCACGTAAATGGGCATCCACACACAAAACTTAGTTTGTGTGGAGTAAGCCAGAACAAGGAAATTCAATTTTGAAGCCAAACATTACAGTCCATATAATACTTGTCCTATTTGATCATCTATTTTCCAACAGTGCATCAGCAGAATGAAGCAGTTCCTAACATAACACGCACTCAACAGAGAGAAATATTTATTAACATTTACATTCATGCAGCAAAAAAAAAAGTTAAACAGGGGTGAAAACAAGGTAGAAATTTCTCAGATATGTTAAAAAAGTTCAATTGTGTATGATGGAAATGAAGAAAATGCTAGTCTGTTAGGTACAGCTGTTAAGAATGGGGCTAAAGGAGTCCTTCAGGGAAGCGTGTGAATCCCACTGGTTACTTCATTTGCTGAAAATAATTATCCAAAGAACTTTTAACTTTATTTCCTCCACTAACTCTCTTTTACTGTGCTTTCTCTGATTCATTTGGCAATTAAGGCTGTAGCTGAATTACTGTCAGAGTGAGCAGAAGCTTTCTCATGGAAGTCAGTGGGAGCTGGAGCTTCACTTGATGTGGCTGGAACTGTAACTCCCTTTTTACATGCTCAACAGAGATTTGTTGGAGTTTACATCTCTGAATAGTATTAGTGTGGGCTGTTTTAAATAGCTAACGTGTGTAGTGTCTTCATCCAGCTTTCTTTAATAAATCCACTGTGATAAGCAGCAGAGATTAATGTGTGGCTTAAATTACATAACATCTAGGCATCACAACATAACATGCAGATAAAAACATGATTAGTTGGTTTTAATAATATGAATGTAGCAGTGTGATTATCTTTTAGTTTAGAGCTTATTTTCTGTTGTTGGTGGTCTTTTATTATTCTTTATTTTTTTTTAAACATGCCTTTTCTGTATAGAAAACATGTAGAAGAGTGCATGGAGAGTAAATCATCCAAGGACAGTCCTTCAAGATGCTGCTGGAGTGCCAGCTTGACTTTCTTCCCAGCAGATGACGTATGACAGGGACAAGGTAGGTCTGGTTGCTTATTTTCTATTCAAGAGGGATGTGCTAATACTGATGCCCTTCTAGGTCTGCTCTGTAAGCTGCAAAAAATTAGGATCCACTTTCCTCTGTGGCTTGCTCACATGAGGCTGGCAGAAGAAAGGGTGAAGCTCAGGTTGGGTCTGGTTTTGGGTGGGTGCCCAGAACTGCTGTGAGCTCAGAGCAACAGGCACCCTGTGTGGCATCCTTGAGAATAGAGCACTTTATTTATGTATTTACTTAAATGGTGACACAAAAGGAGCAAAGTAGGTACAGTCTTGTTTGGTGTACACATACTGCTGTGTAAAAGGTAATTAGAGCTTCTGGGCAGCAAGACCAACTGTAATAGGACTGTGTGAAAGCTCCCATACACTCGTGTCCTCCTTCTTACAGTTGCACATAGCAACTGCTGGCAGATAAGCTCAGGAACAGGTCAAGCGTAGAGCAATCACCCTGTGTCCCTCTCCACACCCAGCAGAGAGTGGTTTGGGGATATACTGAGCCAGAGGCAACAATATGAGCCCTGTGTTTCAAGCAAAAATCCAAAACACATGTTAGCAATCATCTCAGATTGCTAAATTTTCAAAACAAATTCAAAATTAGGTTTGGTTCTCATAACTGAAGTGTTACGTCTCTCTTCACTGTATGGTCCCGCTGAGGTGGAGCTGAGCAGCCTCCATCCAGCTACCCAGTGGGGTAGCTGCACTGTGCTCCCACCTGGAGCCCAAATGGGGCACCTGGAAGGGCAGGACAAACTACCAGTGGATGGTGGCAGTCAGGATTTCAGCCCTTTTATGATGAGCAACCTTTTTCTTGACTTTAAAAATCCGTTGGAAAGGCCAGAGTAGGTCCTGAGTGCTGAAATGATTTGGCATGAACAGTATGCGTATTAGGTGGCCTTTTCTCTTGACCTTTTGATCAGGGTTAAGTGCAATATCTATTTATACCCCTGCTGTTGAGGCACCTTCCCCTGCTCTTGTAGGAATGGTGGCTGCCAAGCTGAATAGACCCAGAATGGCTGAATGCAGAAAATAAACAAAACTGCAGTCTTCTTTATTTCTCTGCTACAGAGCTCAGGTTCTCAGCAGATGCATCACTTTGGCCATCAGAAAGTCTTATAAGTAACACTGTTTGGTTTAAAATAAAAATTTAAAATAAATAAATAATCAAAAAAAGAAACAGCCAAGCATTCCCTTCCCTGAGTGCAGCATTAAGCCTGTGAAGCTGCTGGGAAGCTCCAGGCCCCATGTAACTCCTGAGCCTGGCTCAAGGGGGAAGTGACACTGGCAGACCTTTAGCAGCACGTCCCTGCATGGCATTTGGCACACACCAACCTCAGCATGCCCTGGGTTTGGCGTGCAGAGCTGAGCTGTTCTTTTTCAGCACAGCAATGCCACGTCTCTCGGAGGGAAGGACATACAAAAGCGCACTCAGCAGCTGCTCCTACAAACATTTAAGCAGATGCACGGTGATTGAAAGCAGGACTGGAAGGAAGGCTTTCTGTCCCTTTACAGTCTTCTCCTAAGAAGCAGGAGTTTTTTCCCTTTGAATCATCAGCCCTGATACCGATGCAGCGGGGAGTGTCGTGAACATGTATTCCCTGAATTCAGATGAGGTAATGGTTGGCATCGAGGCCTGCACTGCCAGCAAAATGAGCTCTCTGACAGTCAGACAAGGCCTGTTCGTTCCTGCCGGCCTGTGAACTAAAAAAATGCCATTCATAACCTGAATATGAGCTGGGGTCATTTTATCAAACCTAGATCAGTACATTTAATGAGCCTCTTTGTTCGGTGGCAGGGCCATGCAGGGCTGGGCCTTGCCCAGCTCCCACTCAGCACTGGGCTGTGCTGGGAAGCGCTGGTGGGAGCGGTGGCCTCACTCTCAGGGCTCTCAGGCTTACCTGTGGCTGCATTCCAAGCATGTGTGCCGAGAGGGCTGCAATTCAAAGCAGGGAGAGAGGAGAAGAGGGAGGGGTAGGGATAGTTAGCAGGTACACTGTGATGTGGGAGTGTATAAAAGACTGATAAATCAAGCTGGTTTCAAAACAACATGTTACTAGCCTGGTGTTCATGCACAAAGTACATTGCCAGTGGTTAATTCTTAATCTCTGTCCTGTTTAGAGTGTTCAGGCTGGACTCCCCACTACCAGGCAGGCAAGGACATTTGTGGGTCCAGCAAGGTTCATCTGTGTGTAAAGACACCTGATGGGAGAGTACAGAAAATATAGGCAGGCTCTTCTTGTTGGCGCTCAGTGAGATGAGAAGCGGCAGTCACAGAGGGAAGGGAAATTCCATGTAAAAGTACAAAAATATTTTTTTATGGTGAGAGTGGTCAGGCAGCAGAATGATTGCCCAGAGAGGTTGTGGAGCCTCCATCCTTGGAGATACTCAAAATCCATCTGGACGTGGCCTCAAGCAACCTGCCTAGCTGACCTGGCTATGAGCAGTAGGACCAGAGGATCTCCACAGGCCCCTTCCATGCTCAGTGGTTCTCTAATTACCATTCTGTAAGCAGTCATTGTGTCCACATACTCAAACAATTAGTCCTTACCTATCTTACCTTTAGTTGGCTAGGGGTATTTAGGATCTTGGATCTAAAGCCATCTGGTTAACACTGATGGGCTCTTCCATGAGGGAACAAGGCCCTGAGATGGAAGCTTATTTCTTCCTCTTTTTGCCTTGCCCATCATTGAAGTTTTTATGTTTTTCATCCTTGTGCGTGAAGGAGGGAGCGGCGGGTGAAGCTCTTGTAGTCCTGGCATAGTTCACTTTAATTCCAGGCCCTGGAGTTATTCTGGTTTTGCCAGACATCTTTCCATCTTGCTCTGCAGGGTTGTCCTGATTCCACCAGACATCATTCTTGCCTGCCTTACTCCTCCTCCCCTCATACCTTTCAGGCTTTACTGCTTGCATATATTTCCCAGTATTGCCCTTGTGCCTCTCTACTACCAGTCTTCCTCTGCCCCTCTGGTGACGTATTATTTATCTGTTTGTGCTTAGCTGTCTCTCAAAACACATACACACTATGGCTGGAGATGCTACAAAATGTGTCACTTGCACAGTGCTGCTGGCACGACTGTTTTAGCACTGTGCTGTCTGATTCCCAGGCAAGTAAACGCTAATTTTACTGTATGCTTCTGCTACCAAGAGCAGTGGGCTTGTGCTTTGGTGACAGCCTGCACAGCTGCTGGTCTGTCAGGGCAGTTTCTGGGAATCCATATGCTGCTTCATAAATTCAGAATGTCCATCTCATTAGCATGGGTGTAGTCTTTTTACCTATGGCTTTGTATTGTCCCAGCAAATCCATCTTCTTCGCTGGGGCATGTTTTCCCTGGGACCTTCAGAAAGATTCTGTCTCATGATTCCCTTCCTTCCTGCTGTCCTGGGGTTAGACTGAATTTGAATTCCTTGGTTTCATGGGAATAATCCTTCTTTGGATTAAAAGAAGTCTTCAGTCTGAGATTTACTTTGTACTTTTGCATCTTATGAATTATATCAGAATAAGGTGCCGATGAGGAACTCTACCCCTAGCTGTTGGCAGCAGTAATTTCTACTTGTATTATGTAAATGGAAGCTTTCCACTGGAAATTGCCTATCCATTTCCAGTGAAGGGATTCCACATAGCTTACAAGGAAGGACCCAGCAAGGATTCGGGCTAGGACCATGCTCATTACACAGGCATCTGCCCTTTGTGAAAGGATTTTCTACACCAGCCACAGAAGGACTAAATGGTGTAGACAATACACAGTCCACTAAGGATTCTGCTCTGCCATATGAAGGATGCTGTCACTTAGGTTTCTGCTGACCATACTGGGTTAGAGCATGTCAAAGAGAACTCCTGACATCATGGGATCCAAAGCTACAATTCTGGATAAAAAAAAATTTAATGTTCTTCTTGGAGACACAAACTTAATGGAAAGTGACAGTTTTCCATGAGGTGTTTTAGTGAAAAGGCAGAGGTGCATGGCACAGGCTGCAGAGGGGCTTCCTCATCTCCTCTTCTGCTGCTGGGGCTGGAGATACAGTCTGGTATTGCCTTCAACCACTGCTTCTTGGTCCTCCAGAACTTGAGCCCAAAGCTCATGCAACCTGGAGAGAAGGAGCAGAAGCTTTTTGGTGGTAGTATCCCATAGTACAGCTTAGAGAAACTGTTCTTCACACATAAATCTCAGTCACTTACATTGTGTACCCGTCTAATGTTGATGCCTTCATTTGCCTACAATACTGTAATTTTGTTGGGAAACAAATTAGAAAATACTTGTTTCTGTCCCTTTTGAAGGAGGAATGAACGTATAGGAGATAGATTTTGAACTGAAAAGCTCAAGCAGTGTTTATAATCATGTTTATAAATTTGGCAGCAAGCTGGACAGAGCAACATTTTGGAAACAGTTGTCTTCTATCATCCCCAGCATGCTTTTGGTTTTGGCTCTGCTTCAACTAGAAGTTTTTCCATCTAGACTGGGATTTTTTTAATATTTCTTTTTATTTTAAGAGACGTGATCAGCTAAGAGTTAGTATATGTTGTGTTCTCAAAGTCTTTCTCCCTGTTAGGATAAGATTGTTAGACATGACCCATTAAAAAACAATCAAATGATCCTTTCAGCATCTTATGCTGATTTATCTGCTTTTTTGCACCTCATTCAGTATGGGCAAAATAAACAAATAAATAAATAAATAGACTGTTCTGTTTTGCTTTCCTGTCTGAGGATCATTTGCCAGTGCTTTGTGGAGAGGCAGCTGAGGGCTTGAGGCCAAATTTGCAAAGCGGCAGATGCCTGCAGATACAGAAACCTAAAAGTTTTTCAAGTTTTCTGCCCAGCCCCCATGAAATAATCAGTATCAAAGCAAGATAGGGATTATCTATTTAGATAGCAATGTTCAGAGTTGCATGTTAGAGTTTTGGAAGTCTGTGCCGTGACGGTGCCTTTTGGGCTTATATCCAAGAAAAAAAGAAACAGAAAAGGAAGCTGAAGTCAAGAATGCACTCGG